TCTCTCTCTCTCTCTGGGGTCGGAAAAGAGTGCCTTTTTATTTCGCACGACTGTATTATCGTAATGGTGAAAATCCATTAATTGTACAACTGAGCTCCGAAGATTTTTTTCCTTTTTTTTTTCAAAAAATTAAATGCACTGCACTCCTGAGTAAAACTTCTTTCTGTATCAAGCATTTGGATTCGCAAAATGATTGTGCCGTAAAGAACTCAAATTTCTTCCTCCTATTGTGGGTTTATCGTCCAGGACTTTGTCAGGTAAGACATTTTTTCCTTATGGGAAACAAGAGCAGATAGATAATTTGATCAGTATAACGATACCACCTAATAACTATAGTGAGAATACATTGACAACTGAATTGGCAATTTTACTTATCAAGGCAACAGAAATTCAACGACCACTGCGCTTTTCTGTCTACGGTTCTGTATCAAGTGATCAAAGAGTTTCTAATAATGATAATCATTATATTAAGTAATAAATAGCTCTTGTATAGCCCATATCCCCACTTGAAGGCAAGCTCTATGTGCTCTGCACTGTATTATTCTTATTATCCCAGCAGGCCACAGAACACTCAGAAACCTTCACGGCTTCCTGGGAAGCATAGTGCAAGTAGCTGATTAAGCGCTCAAACACTAACAAATTGATACGATCTTTTGCTGTCTATAGGCGGGTACTCATTCCCACCTTAGTGAAGTGAGGAAAATTGGTGTAAAGTGCCTTACCCAAAGACACAACGTCGGGCTTAATACTGAGAGGATGCTTTTTAAAAAAACAACAGAACTGGAATACCCGTATGAAGAAAGGCGCATTGACGAAATGCGGGGCTACATATCCATGTCCTTCGAAGATTTTACACACCCATGCAATGTATCATTTGCTTTGACTTTAGACGCATAGAGCGGGAAGGGTCTGAATAAATTTCGGCTTCTGTTACTCATTATGCAAATCGCCCAAAGCTGTGGGAATCGAAGAAAAGGAGCGGGTAATGCAAAGAAAGGATTTGCAGATGACAGACGAAACTCGTTAAAGGAGGGGGAGCGGTGGGGTTGGATGGGGAATGCAGAGTTATTGTTTGGTGACGAAGGCTTGAACTCCTTAGCAGAAAACCATGGCAGCAGATTGAGACTTGGTATGTTAACCATGGATTTTATCAACAATACACAATATAGTATATTTAAAGGGGCGAAGGCTGACTTGTCTGAAATGGTAATCAAAATGAGACACGGAAACAGGGAGAAATGATGCCACACACGAAAAACTTTCCCACAATAAGAACATGATTAACCAAACTTCTCAATCGAGGTGGTATCATTGAGTTTTGAATGAAAACAAACCCTGAATTCATATTATTATTGTTTGTACGTTCACCCACCAAAATAACCAAGAAAATATTTCAATAGATAATTTCCTTCCCACTTTGGGCAAAAACGTAACATTTTTAATGCTTGGATGTGATTTTTTTTATAGTTGATTGATTATTTAAATCCACATACATTCTGAATATATTGACTTGTATGAACAAAAACGTCCAAGACTTTTAGATGGAAAGGTTCATTAAAATAACAGCTTGACTTTGTGAAACGGGCAGGTACGTTTTTAAACGTAGGTGTTTTACATTTACATCTGCACAATTTACATCGTTTAGGAGGCAGGCATCGGCTCTATAATATTATTTCACGGCCAACCCGGACAGAGAGGAATACAACGTCCCAGAAAAGCGACGGAGATATTCAGTGAAAAATTATCTCCCTGAACAGAAATCAAACTCAGGTCTTGTGCTTGCGACAGCGTAGCACTTAATCGCCACGCTACATACGCCAGTTTGCAGAACATTAAAAACATAAATATGTAAATAACGGTGTAAATGAATTATTATTCCTTCATCCAAACTGAAAAATCAAAATCAAAACTGTTCAAGCAAGAAAAACATGCACTGAAAACTGTGTTGACTTTTTAAATGCAGTTTCCTTGAATCCGCCCTCGCTTGATGGCAAGAATTCAGGAAGCCTGGGGGTTCCCCCCGCCCACATGTTACGGGGATCTGAAGTCCGACCTGATTCACGTCGCAGAGATTTTAAACAGCAGATAAATTACTGTTTAGCACCGAGTGACCGACCCCGGGAAAGCAATTACTTGGGTCAGAGACAAAACTTTTCCTTGTGGGGTAAAACACCGTATGTCTGAAACCCCAAAGGCCCAGGTTCAAGCTTCGCTCTCTGCCTAAACAACGCCATAAGCTCTCCCTTGTGTGTTTTGGGCAAAAAGCTTCAAAGAGTATCTAGGAACATACCCAGCTACGTGTGCAAAGTTCCAGACAGGCGGTGTTTATGCAAAATATTTTCTTTACCCCTCGAAATCCCAGTCGAAGCCGATTAATTCTCACTCTCTTTTGTGTGTTCTTTTTAGTATACAACAGTATCGAGTTCGGCTCTGATACAGGGGTGGATTCGCACTCTGTCGTGCTCCCCTTGTGAAGCAGGGGCCCTCCCTCGAGCTTTTTAATTGGTCCGTTAATTTGAGAGCAACGCTATTTCCAGGTGCGCTGTCAAAACGGAGTGCCGTCCGGTGGTAGCTCATACACATGGGTGATTCTGCGTGCATCAGATGGCAAGATCATCATGTGGGGCTCTCGTGGGGAGAGGAATTGAGTGTGGGTGAGGAGGGAGATGAGTGAGTGACTGAATGACAGACTGGGCGTGCTACTGAGAGAGAGAGAGAGAGAGAGAGAGAGAGAGAGAGAGAGAGAGA